GTATTTGTGGAGTCTGGTGTCCTTGTACTGTTTGAATGTGGACGTGTGATATGTATTAATGGGAGCTGGTAGATGTTTGTGTGTGAAAGAGAGTTAGACAGTGACTGCGTCTTGTCTCTGTATGTGTCTTCGTTTCTTTTTTGTCTTTTTTCCTCTATTTCTTTGTTTGCTGCCATCTTTGTGCTTTTCAGTGGTGATAAAACCATCAAGAGTTTTCACAAGGTCTTCTGTCAAGTTTATCAGACTAAATTCTTGCAATCTGTTTTAGAAGAACTTTAAAGGGATAGTCACCCAAAAATTGTCATAATTTGCTCATGCTTATGTTGTTCTAAACTTGTATAACCTGAAATTTTGAGTAATGTATTGGTCATTCTTTTTCCATTCAATTACAATGGACAGAAAATGAATGGAAAAGCTCCATAAAGATGTCTTCTGGACATCGTATAATAGCTTTGGGTGAGAAACTTAATTAAATGTAGTTGATCATTCACCTCTTAACTAGATCTTCGAGTGAGATCAGTGAGTTGAGAAAGGAATCACTGTGATTTGTGAATGAATCATTTAGACTTGTTTTGTGAACTGGATTCATTGAAAAGATTCAATTCACACGAATCCAAGGATTCAAGATTTTCAGTGAATAACAGCTTAAAGTTAATGCATGTTTAAGAAGACCAAGAAAAAAAGTCATATGGACCACTTTTAGGACACATTTATGGTGCTTTTTAGTCATTTAGGAGTTTCTCAGTCCTGGTTGTCATTCAGTTTCATGATATTGCAAAGAATGGCCAGGAAATTCTTCAAAACAATCAGGTTTGAAACGACATGAGGGTGGTTAAAAAATGACAGAATTTAACTATCCCTAGAATTTGTTCCTCTCCTTGTAGAATAATCATTCCATCATTTAAAAGCCTTGTGAAACTCATTTTATCACTAATTGTTTTAGTAGCATTCTGCAATTATAGATATAAAGCATTAGATCAGAGACAGCACGTTTCTACACAGATGTGTTTTGCTGTCGGATCTATCATGCTCATATCTATACTCATCACTCCCCACTCAGGGGTATGTGTGACTTTCACCCAATCTTGCGGTGGTTGGAGTGACTGGTTTGCCCATCCCCTGTTGCATGCTGGGATATGTAGCTGCTAACATTAGCTTCATTTTCTGCAGATGGCGCTCGGCCACCCGCTCTATTCTCCTCCGATCAGTGCCCAAGCGGTGTAGTCCGTTTGAAGTTTAAACTTCCTCTCTTTCAGCACTTCCTGTTCACCTCCAGACAGAATGGCCCTGGAGCTCAGAGCTGATTTAAATAACGAGTAATCAAAATATCAAAGCTGAGCATCCAATCACTGGCAAACAAAGCAGTAGCATTCTAGTGTACAGAGATGTTCACAAAAAAGGAAGAAGAACACGGGTAGAATCACGTGAATAGAGCTCAACAGTGACCACCCAAGTTGTCAGTAGTCTGGGGTTCCGGAAATCTATTTCCCGGTTTTTTTTTTTCTCCATGAAATTCTTAATTAAGATTTCCAAGCCTTGAATTAGTGAATCAAATTGAAGTCTGAATCACACCTGAACCTTATTCAACCCTGAATGTATTCTCACAGGCTCTGACTCAAAACTGAATTGTGTGTGAGCATTAAAAAAAAGTTATATATTATTATTATTATTAAGTAATTTAACAAGTGTAATAAAAATACATGTATTATTGTTTAAACTATATCACAGTTTATTTTCTTTTTAAAATTATCATCATCATCATCATGTAACAAGTCCAAACTCTACAGAAAATTTAATCACTCAGAAATAAGAAATTTTTGTTAAAGTATTGCAAGAAAAAAGTTACAATACTGTGTGTTTGTATCATCTTATGCAGCATTTTACACACAGATAGATAGATAGATAGATAGATAGATAGATAGATAGATAGATAGATAGATAGATAGATAGAAAACGTTTGACCTCTGTCATTGCCAACAAAGGGTATATAACAAAGTATTGAGATGAAATTTTGTTATTGACCAAATACTTATTTTCCACCATAATTTGCAAATAAATTCTTTAAAAATCCTACAATGTGATTTTCTGGATTTTTTTTCTCATTTTGTCTCTCATAGTTGAGGTATACCTATGATGAAAATTACAGGCCTCTCTCATCTTTTTGAGTGGGAGAACTTGCACAATTGGTGGCTGACTAAATACTTTTTTTCCCCACTGTATATCATAATTTTACAGTGCTGGAGAAGAGCACTTGGTTGGTGTGTTTAAATGTAATCCCACTGTTTGTTGTGGCATTCTTGCTCTCAGAAGCTGCTGTTGAGTTCTGTTCTCTGATCAGATGTGAAGGGCAGCACAGGCTCATTATGACATCACATTAACAATGGCTGTTCAGTGTTACAAGATGCAGTTTATCTTTACATATCTATCTGTAGTCTGTGTGTCTGCTGAGTGACTGTCTGTCTCTCTGTTCTGTCTTCCTCAGAGGAGAGAGTTTGAGTAGAGCAGGTGTGTAGACGTCAGACAGGCTGCATGACCTCCATTACTGCTCACTTTTCCTTCCTTCCTTTAAACGTTTTTCTTTCATTTCTGCTTTCCTTCCTCCTTTCCTTCTTTTCTTTCTTTCCTCTTTTGTGCCACTTATCCATCCTTTCTTACTTATTTTTTCCCCTTATTTTTCTTTAAAGGGGTCCTATTATGCTTTTTCACTTCTTCAACTTTAGTTAGTCTGTAATGTTGCTGTTTGAGCATAAAAAAGATCTACAAAGTTACAAAGCTCAAAGTCCACTTCAAAAGGAGATATTTTATTTAACTGAAATCACTTTTCAAAAACTACAACGAACGACTCGTTTGGACTACAACGCATATTTTCTGGGATTTGTGATATCACAAATATCGACGAATGGGACGAGTATATGGGACGAGAAGGCAATGAGTGTTATCACTATGTCGGAGACACGCTAGCTTTCCCAAGATAGACGAACTTAGAGTGGTTACAATCATCCGGGTGTAAATCGCACTCAAATTGATTTGATTTTAATGCAATATTTACACTGAAGCTCGCAGGCGGCTATGGTAAGGGGCATGACATTTCCAAAGCAGGCGCCGAGTGCTGCCAATCACAACACACATTGGCCCAGCTAACCAATCACAGCACATTTCGTATTTCAGAAGGCAGGCCTTCATTTGATACAGGAACTATTCGAGCCGTTCATGCCAGACTGGGGAGAGAGGTGTTGTAATAATGTATAATATGTGAAAAATAATGTGTTTTTCAAACAACCTAGTATGAGAGCCTGTTCTAGTACACCCCCAAAACAAAATCAAGACTTTGTAAAAGAGTATAATAGGACCCCTTTAATTTCTTGTTTCTTTTGGTTCATGCTTTGCTTCCTTGCTTAATTTTTCTTTCCTTTCTGCCTTCCTTCTTTCCCTTTTGCTTTCCTTCTCTCAATCCCTCCTTCCTTTTCCCTCCCTCCTTTTTTCTTTCCTGCCATCTTTTAGTTTTTTCCTTCCTTTCTGCGTTCCTTCTTCGAATTCTTACTTTCTTTCTCTCTTGCGCTGGACTGTTAGAGAGCCCTCGGGTGGTGTCTCTTTTGCAGGGCACATGCATGGAGATGCTGCGGTGCTGCTGGTATACTGAGCTCCTTCAAGTCTTGTGTTGCTGTTATGGCGAGAGCGCAAATTCTTACTTTCTTTCTCTCTTGCGTTGGACTGTTAGAGAGCCCTCGGTGGTGTCTCTTTTGCAGGGCACATGCATGGAGATGCTGCGGTGCTGCTGGTATACTGAGCTCCTTCAACTCTTGTGTTGCTGTTATGGCGAGAGCGCGTTCGAGAAAGACATTGTATGTGTGTTAGCGTGTCCACATGTGCCTGACTGCTTAACGCATGCACCATTAATGCTACAGCCAAAAACGGCATCTTATAATTTCTGCTTCTCATGCAAATGTCAATAGTTTAATGACGAGGGATGTCAGGCTGTGTGACTGAAGCCATATCTGTCTGGAGTCTTTCTGCACAGATGAAGGATTCATCTTTTTTTCTGATTACATGCTGAATTTTCTGCCCACTGTGTGAGTGTTTTAATGTTGATGAATGTGTTTTTTTACCTTTCAGAGTCAAGAACTGATCTGTTCTCAAAACCAAATGCTTTGAGTTTATTTTGTGTGCATGTGAAAACATGTTAACCTTTGCAATAACAATGCTAAATTTAAAGCTGTTCAATTGAGCAAAAATACATTACATCAGTAGTGGTCATTGGTGGACACATTTATCTAATGAAATGGTTATGACAGGACATTTCAGAAGCATATTCTGTGCATAAATGTTGTTAATTATTACAAAACCAGATATGTTTTGACTGTGTGGTATTGGTTGCTAGTTAACTGTTATGATTAATTCACTAAATATTCTGGATGGTAAATAATTCTATTTAATTGTACAACACAGAAACATTATAGCGTTCATCTATTTATAATGCAGATGTCATTTGCATCACAGGGTTGACACTGTTTCTCAGTGTAGACACTGAATATAGAGGAATGTAAATTTCATAATGTGGCATTGTGGGTTTGTTATACTTGTCTTTTGCTGTTGCATAGTGGGTTTTTTTTTTTGGATACACTCTTGTTTACAAAGTTGTAATCGTTGCATAAGTGTGCGCGAGTCCCTCACTGTCCTGTTTGTGTGTGATGTACTGTACGTCGGATGCTGTCTGCAGCTGCTTATGTAATCTACGAGATAGAAATAAGGTTACATGTTATATAAGCCCCTTATGTGAATCTAGTTCTGTTTGTCTCTGGTCACTGGTAATATTTCAGTCCTTATAAGCAGTTTTAAATGAAAGATTGTCTATTCTTTGAGGTTTGCTGTTCTGGTTAGAAATGTTATTGTAGAGTTTGTGGTATTATGAGTGCCGGTGAATGTTGTGAATGCATTTTAAAGCGTAAATGGCTGTGCAAACGTTATGTGTGAGTGATTAATTCAGGTCTTTGATTTTAAAGCCCACAGAGGCACCTCAGGTGGATGAGACGGGGGTAAGAAATTCTGCCCCTCTTGGGCTTTTAGCCCAGTTGTACAGTCTGCATTCCTTTTCAGGTTTCCGTTTGAGTTCTGAAATCTTGATTAAACATTGTTTCCTTTCATCTTAACCCACCCTGACTTCGATTTGTTGAGTTTTGGCTTTATATTTATGTTTGCTTTTTCTTCGTTTGCTTTGTTTGTCAAAATTTTGCTTTGGTTTTACATCCTTTGACTATTTTGTCAATTAGGGGAGTGTCACCCAAACGTGACAAACTGTGTGAGTGTGTATATGTGCGTGCGTATGTGTGTGTGTGGGGGGGGGTCGTCGGCCCCTCACGTTTGTAGCGCTGACACTGCTGCATGGTTAAGGGGCCCCTGAAGTCAGGTCAGATTAGGTCTGATCGGGTCAGGTAAGGTTGTGACCTCAAACTGACCTTTCACCCGTGAGGTTTGGGGGCCCACTGTAATTTGGCATGAAGTAACTCTGGGTCAAGAGTGCCATGCTTGTGCTGATGCGTGCAGTCAAGTATGGCAAGGTTTGTTTGTTTTTTTTGTATTTTTACCCAGCATGAACCTCTCTACCCCCTTCCTTTTCTCTTTAGGATATGCGTAAAACACAGGGTCTCTGGTAGTGTTTCTGGATCAGTCAAACCAGCCTATATGTTCTTTTAATACGCATTAAAGTCCTAATTCAGAATGTGAATTTTTTCCAACACACCATGTGCTTTGAAATTATATTGTGCTTTTCTCTGCTGGTCAGACTGCTTTAATACAGCCAGATGCCCTGTGTTTTATCTTTCTCCTGATTGGTTCACTAATGCTGACTCTACCCCCACAGAACACTGAAGACAGCGCTCGCATTTCAATCACCTTCTTCCGTCTTTTCCGAGTGATGCGATTGGTCAAGCTACTGAGCAGGGGGGAGGGCATTCGAACCCTTCTCTGGACCTTCATCAAGTCCTTCCAGGTCAGATGTTATTCTGACTTAATGAACTGACAGATAATATTAAAGCTTTCTAGCAGTTACAGTTCAATCACACGGGGCGTCTGCATTAACGCTTCTCATTTACTTTAAATGTGTAACGTCATGTGTTTGCCGAACTGAATTGTGGGTCCGTTGCGCCACATCACTGGCGTTGCTTGCGGCAGAAGGTAAACATTTTTCAAGCACCAACCCAGGAGTTAGCCAATCAGATCGCCTATGCAAATATTCTACAGCAGATGTTAGCCAATCACATTCATGGAACACGGGAAAAGTAATGTGATTGACTGTTGTCACTATGACAGCACCAAGCAGACACGCCCTCCGACAAGCATTGACGCTGACGCCCGTGTGAATGTACAGTTATGCATTTTATTAGAAAGTTGTATTTTATCTATAGACTGTCTTTTGGGGTTAATTTGACCCCAGCACAATATTTTATTTTATTTTATTTTATTTTAGGAAATTTTAGGAAATTTTAGGAAATTTTAGGAAATTTAAAGCTTAGTGCTAAAATATTATTATTTATAAATATTATTGTACGTACCATAGTAATATATATTTTATGGTCTTTTCTCAGGCCCTGCCGTATGTCGCTTTGCTGATAGCCATGCTCTTCTTCATCTATGCTGTCATTGGCATGCAGGTTAGTTTCATAATAAGTTGTATTTTTTTGCATACATCATGAAATGTGAGAAACACAATTCATGACGTGATTCATGACATGAATTGTGAGAAATGCAACTGCAGAACAGATTTTTTTGTTTTTGTTTTATTGTTTGACTTCTGACAAATTAACGTAAATTTTTCCAAAATACAGCAAAATTTAAAGCAAAACCATTTTGAAATATCAGTAGCAACCACAGCCACCAAAAAATTTGTATTATGCAATCCAAAAACGATATGCATAGAAAATCTTTCAGGGTTTTTTATTGTATTGTTTTTATTGTCATTTTTGATGCTTTCGCTTATGTTTTTATGGTCGTCTTATCTATGATAATTAAAAAGAATTTACAATTTTGCTAAATAGCATTCAAGTGAGTGTAGTTGATATCTTGACTAAAATGCAAATCACCCACATTCAGTGTACTTGGTGACACGTGGTGAAAAAATTACACACTTCACCTTTCAATACAGCACAGAGCAACTTAGTTTACCATCTTTCAGGTGTTTGGGAAAATTGCCATGGTGGACCACACACAAATCAACAGGAACAACAACTTTCAGACGTTCCCTCAGGCTGTGCTTCTGCTCTTCAGGTCAGTGATCGGCACAGTGAAGACGTTAATGGCAAAAGTGCCAGGGTTTTAAACCTTTACAAAGATGTTTTTGCATTTGTCTCTTGTTCTTTCCCCCTTTTTTATGCTACCACTTCATCTTGGTGTTTAAAAAAAGCATTTAGTGTAAGATATATTCCGATTTCTTTATTGTTTGGGGGTAGATGTGCAACAGGTGAAGCCTGGCAGGATATCATGTTGGCATGTATGCCAGGGAAGCTGTGTGACCCGGAGTCAGACTATAATCCAGGAGAAGAGATGACCTGCGGGAGCAACTTTGCCATCATCTACTTCATCACCTTCTACATGCTCTGCGCCTTCCTGGTGCGTATACACTAACTAGATAATAGAGACTTCCTTTTGATTTATTCTACTTATTATAATTACTAGAATTATATTATTTGTAATGTTGCCTATCCACCTTCAAACCTCCAACAAAATAATTTAGCATTTAAAAAATTTATTAATGACATTATTTCATCTCTTTATCTCTTTATTTTTACCTGTTTTGTCATTCTGAAGCCCCAGAAGGATTCATTTTGTTTGTTTTTAGGGTTATTTTTATCAACAGTGTTGTTCTCAAAAGTTGGTCGTGTGAATCTAATTAAATAATATCTTGTTTTAGATCATTAACCTGTTTGTGGCTGTCATCATGGACAACTTTGACTATCTGACCCGTGATTGGTCGATTCTGGGGCCACATCATCTTGATGAATTTAAGAGGATTTGGTCAGAGTATGATCCAGAGGCCAAGTAAGGATGTGCAAATGTGTTTGTCAAGTCATCTATATTTATGTAGTGATTTTTATAGAATACGGATTGTTTCAAAGCAGCTTCTCTCGTATTGTATTGCAGAGGCAGAATAAAACATCTTGATGTAGTGACGTTGTTGCGCCGTATTCAGCCTCCACTTGGCTTTGGGAAACTCTGTCCTCATAGAGTCGCCTGCAAGGTAAGGCACACAGATTTACAAAAAACTGTTTTTGAATATTAGCAAACACACTCAACCCATCCTCTCTATCTCTTTCTGTCTGTCTGTGTTTCTCTATTCCAGAGGCTGGTGGCTATGAACATGCCTCTGAACAGTGACGGCACTGTCATGTTTAATGCAACACTTTTTGCTCTTGTGAGAACTGCTCTGAAGATCAAAACGGAAGGTATGTGCATTCTTTGCAGAACTGCTAGTATTGGTTTGCAAATCGCTATAAACGTCTTATTTCAATGAATTAGTTCAAAACAGTTCATTTGCATCATTCACAAATGTCATTTTGCATTTTGAGTGTTTTAAGATGTCTTAGTGAAATATAAATATACTGTAGGTAAAAATAGGTCATCTATGTTGTTACACTACCATTCAAAAGTATAGGGTTTTGAGTAAATAATTTTTTTTAAGATTTCTGAAAAAACAAAAAAATCTCTTATGCTCACCAAGGCTGGATTTATTTAATCAAAAATAAATATAAAAAAAATATTTCAAAATGTAAATATTATTAAAAAATATTTAATATTTAAAAACTAACTAAATAAAAAACTATTTTGTATTTGTCTATATGTCTGTATTTGTTTAAAATGTAATTTATTCCTGTGTCTGACACTGAGTCTTCAGTGTCACATGATCCTTCAGAAATTAATATAATATGCAGATTTGGTGTTTCTAATTGTTATCATTGTTGAAAACAGTTGTGCTGCTTAATATTTTTGTGGAAACATTTTTTCAAGATTTCAAGAAAGTTCAAAAGAACAGCACTTATTTGAAATAGAAATATTTCAAAAGTTGTCAAGTATAAACGTCTTTAATGTCACTTTTGATCAATTAAATGCATCCTTGCTGAATAAAAGTACATTTATTTCTTTCCAAAATATTCTTATTGACCCCTTTTGAACAGTAGTGTATATGGGTATATGTAAGTATAATATCATTAAATGCTATTCTTTTTTGCATTTATTTAGTGAAAAACAGACTGTGGAATAGATTTTACTAAATTTCTTGATGTAAACATTGTATTAAAATCATGGTTCCTCTGAAATCACCCTTAAATCATCCTTTTTAAGCTGTCCCAACGTAACTATGTCTATCAAAAGATTGAAAATAACCTTTTTTAACCTATAATGCTCAGACCTAGTTGACGGTATGGAGCAGAAACTCCATTTGTAGTTGTGTGGATAACATGTGTGTGTTTTAACCCAGGTAACCTAGAGCAGTCCAACGAAGAGCTCAGAGCTGTGATTAAGAAGATCTGGAAGAGAACAAGCATGAAACTTCTGGATCAAGTAGTGCCCCCTGCTGGTGGTCAGTTATAAATCTCAGAGATGGTCACTGCTAATGGGAACACACATTCACAACAGAGCATAGACATATAATATTTCTGCGTCTTTTAACTCACACCTAAATCATCCATTTAGATAAAGAACAAAAATATAATTTTTGAACACAGTTTAGTAGCATATACACACATATTGTACATTTGTCATGCACACACTAGCTCACACACACACCAGCTGTTGCACTAGCTTTTTCCTGCTGTTTTACTCTTAGTTTCTCCTGGCCGGGTCTCTGTGATGTTTGTTCTGTTCCGTATGTGTCGCGAATGCTCTCCTCTCCTGCTCGGTACCACACTGCGTCCACAGTGGAACCTCAATGATGTGTCTTTGTGTGTGTGTGTGTGTGTGTGTGTGTGAGAGTATATGGGAGGATTTGGAGAAGGTGCGTGTGTGTGTTTATGTGTGTGTGTGTTGAGCTTTGGGCTTGCATGGCAACTCAGGCATGCTGTGTCCTTCTAAAATTGTCTCTTTTTCTCTCTCTCTTTTCTACACTGTCGCGCTCTCCTGTATCTGCTTGAGCTTTTCCGCAGCTTCCGTTCCTCGTTAACTGTCTTTCTGTTCATGTAAAAGTTCAGATCTTCAGAATATTCTGAAGCAATTCTGTTTTAGGGTGGTGGCATGGAACTAATGTTGCCTCTTCTTTCCTGATCTGTCCCCAAAGTGCTTGTTTAAAAAAAAAAAGTGACACAGACCCCTGCTTCAGAATGATTCTCATGCACAGACTTACACATTCATGAATACAACATGCAGATGAACACTTTGATGATGAAAATGATCATAGATGATGAAAATGCATATGTAAAAGCAGTATATTAGACATGCACAAATGCACCCACAGAAATGCAACGCTAATGTGCTAATACATATTGCTCAGTGCTGCTTGCTTGCATGTTCCCAGTAGAACTTATGCATTTAGGACTAGATTTTAGTGAAGTTAGATGGCTTAGCTGATGCAGTTTTTTTTTTGCAAACCCCCCCTCCTCCACTCAAACTTTCTGTAATCTCTTTCTTAGTTGGTATGCTAATGCTAATATACTAATACTAATATGTTTACAGATGTCTGGTGACTGAAATTAGATGGGTGCTAAACCGTGAATATGAACTATTCTACAACTGACATTACATTAAGCTGGTAGCTATATTCTAGAATAAGATAGCAGGTTTCTAGTTGGTCCAAGTTGGTCATTAGCTGTTTTACTAGCTGGTTTGTTGCTGGTCCAAGGTGGTCTTTATCAGCTAATAACCAGCAAATTACTATATTAAACCAGCTAGAATCCAGCTACTGTGTTCCCAAACACAACTAGCAGCTTAAGTCAGATTTCCCTCATATTAATTTGTCTTAGAATTAGTTTTTGACATTTGATTGCTTTTACAATACCATCATTTGAATAAAAGTTTGTAAACCTATAACAATTATTAATTGTAATTATCTATATTTCTAGCATCAATGGCTAGGTAGTATTATTTGTCAAACAACACATTTTAAATTAAAGTTTAGCATATTATATATGTATATAATTTATAATTATTTATATACAAATTTATTGAAAAAATAATACTTTTATTTAGCATAGATGCATTCAGTTGATTCAACGTTGATAATGATAATGCTTTTTGAGTGGCAAATCATCATATTAGAAGGATTTCTGAAGGATCATGTGATGCTAAAGACTGGATAATGATGCTGAAATTTCAGCTTTGCATCACAGGAATAAAATACCTTACAGTTTTTTTTAATTGTAATATTATTTCACAATATTACTGTTTTTACTGTATTTTTATCAAATAAATACAGCCTAGTGTAGTGCATATGTGTTCAAGGTGACTAAAACAGTAAAACACGCTAGTGTTCTGTGATGTGCGGCATATTTTGCTTATGTATGTGGTGTTTGTTAATTAAGACCATCTGTGTTTATAATGTAGACATGGGTCATATTTTAGGAGCCATTTGTGTAGAAATCCAGATAATTCTAAAGGGTTCCTTAACATTTAATTCACAAAGCTGTTTTTCTCTTTCAATGAGTGCGCAGTTAGAATAACACAAAGCATCTCTTAGCATCAGTTTCTGTCTGTCACCGTGCATCACCGCAGAGGTGTGTATGCGTGCGTTGAAACTACTTGCTGACAGCGAAGCCGTGTGTGTGGTCTGTTCACTCAGATGATGAGGTAACGGTGGGGAAGTTCTATGCCACTTTCCTGATACAGGACTACTTTAGGAAATTCAAGAAACGCAAAGAGGAAGGCCTGGTGGGCGTTCACCCAGCACAGAACAACACCGCTGTCGCCCTGCAGGTAAGCAAAACGTACTTGGAGATTGAAATGTGTTGATTCTTTAGAGTGTATTAATAAGTTGTATGCTGTTTAATGTCAACGAAGAGCTCAGAGCTGTGATTAAGAAGATCTGGAAGAGAACAAGCATGAAACTTCTGGATCAAGTGGTGCCCCCTGCTGGTGGTCAGTTATAAATCTCAGAGATGGTCACTGCTAATGGGAATACGCATTCACAACAGATCATAGACATATAATATTTATGCGTCTTTTAATTCACACCTAAATCATCCATTTAGATAAAGAACAAAAATATAATTTTTGAACACAGTTTAGTAGCATATACACACATATTGTACATTTGTCATGGACACACTAGCTCACACACACACACACACACACACACACACCAGCTGTTGCACTAGCTTTTTCCTGCTGTTTTACTCTTAGTTTCTCCTGGCCGGGTCTCTGCGATGTTTGTTCTGTTCCGTATGTGTCGCGAATGCTCTCCTCTCCTGCTCGGTACCACACTGCGTCCACAGTGGAACCTCAATGATGTGTCTTTGTGTGTGTGTGTGTGTGTGTGTGTGTGAGAGTATATGGGAGGATTTGGAGAAGGTGCGTGTGTGTTTATGTGTGTGTGTGTTGAGCTTTGGGCTTGCATGGCAACTCAGGCATGCTGTGTCCTTCTAAAATTGTCTCTTTTTCTCTCTCTCTTTTCTACACTGTCGCGCTCTCCTGTATCTGCTTGAGCTTTTCCGCAGCTTCCGTTCCTCGTTAACTGTCTTTCTGTTCATGTAAAAGTTCAGATCTTCAGAATATTCTGAAGCAATTCTGTTTTAGGGTGGTGGCATGGAACTAATGTTGCCTCTTCTTTCCTGATCTGTCCCCAAAGTGCTTGTTTAAAAAAAAAAAGTGACACAGACCCCTGCTTCAGAATGATTCTCATGCACAGACTTACACATTCATGAATACAACATGCAGATGAACACTTTGATGATGAAAATGATCATAGATGATGAAAATGCATATGTAAAAGCAGTATATTAGACATGCACAAATGCACCCACAGAAATGCAACGCTAATGTGCTAATACATATTGCTCAGTGCTGCTTGCTTGCATGTTCCCAGTAGAACTTATGCATTTAGGACTAGATTTTAGTGAAGTTAGATGGCTTAGCTGATGCAGTTTTTTTTTTGCAAACCCCCCCTCCTCCACTCAAACTTTCTGTAATCTCTTTCTTAGTTGGTATGCTAATGCTAATATACTAATACTAATATGTTTACAGATGTCTGGTGACTGAAATTAGATGGGTGCTAAACCGTGAATATGAACTATTCTACAACTGACATTACATTAAGCTGGTAGCTATATTCTAGAATAAGATAGCAGGTTTCTAGTTGGTCCAAGTTGGTCATTAGCTGTTTTACTAGCTGGTTTGTTGCTGGTCCAAGGTGGTCTTTATCAGCTAATAACCAGCAAATTACTATATTAAACCAGCTAGAATCCAGCTACTGTGTTCCCAAACACAACTAGCAGCTTAAGTCAGATTTCCCTCATATTAATTTGTCTTAGAATTAGTTTTTGACATTTGATTGCTTTTACAATACCATCATTTGAATAAAAGTTTGTAAACCTATAACAATTATTAATTGTAATTATCTATATTTCTAGCATCAATGGCTAGGTAACCTCAATGATGTGTCTTTGTGTGTGTGTGTGTGTGTGTGTGTGTGAGAGTATATGGGAGGATTTGGAGAAGGTGCGTGTGTGTTTATGTGTGTGTGTGTTGAGCTTTGGGCTTGCATGGCAACTCAGGCATGCTGTGTCCTTCTAAAATTGTCTCTTTTTCTCTCTCTCTTTTCTACACTGTCGCGCTCTCCTGTATCTGCTTGAGCTTTTCCGCAGCTTCCGTTCCTCGTTAACTGTCTTTCTGTTCATGTAAAAGTTCAGATCTTCAGAATATTCTGAAGCAATTCTGTTTTAGGGTGGTGGCATGGAACTAATGTTGCCTCTTCTTTCCTGATCTGTCCCCAAAGTGCTTGTTTAAAAAAAAAAAGTGACACAGACCCCTGCTTCAGAATGATTCTCATGCACAGACTTACACATTCATGAATACAACATGCAGATGAACACTTTGATGATGAAAATGATCATAGATGATGAAAATGCATATGTAAAAGCAGTATATTAGACATGCACAAATGCACCCACAGAAATGCAACGCTAATGTGCTAATACATATTGCTCAGTGCTGCTTGCTTGCATGTTCCCAGTAGAACTTATGCATTTAGGACTAGATTTTAGTGAAGTTAGATGGCTTAGCTGATGCAGTTTTTTTTTTTGCAAACCCCCCCTCCTCCACTCAAACTTTCTGTAATCTCTTTCTTAGTTGGTATGCTAATGCTAATATACTAATACTAATATGTTTACAGATGTCTGGTGACTGAAATTAGATGGGTCCTAAACCGTGAATATGAACTATTCTACAACTGACATTACATTAAGCTGGTAGCTATATTCTAGAATAAGATAGCAGGTTTCTAGTTGGTCCAAGTTGGTCATTAGCTGTTTTACTAGCTGGTTTGTTGCTGGTCCAAGGTGGTCTATACCAGCTAATAACCAGCAAATTACTATCTTAAACCAGCTAGAATCCAGCTACTGTGTTCCCAAACACAACTAGCAGCTTAAGTCAGATTTCCCTCATATTAATTTGTCTTAGAATTAGTTTTTGACATTTGATTGCTTTTACAATACCATCATTTGAATAAAAGTTTGTAAACCTATAACAATTATTAATTGTAATTATCTATATTTCTAGCATCAATGGCTAGGTAGTATTATTTGTCAAACAACACATTTTAAATTAAAGTTTAGCATATTATATATGTATATAATTTATAATTATTTATATACAAATTTATTGAAAAAATAATACTTTTATTTAGCATAGATGCATTCAGTTGATTCAACGTTGATAATGATAATGCTTTTTGAGTGGCAAATCATCATATTAGAAGGATTTCTGAAGGATCATGTGATGCTAAAGACTGGATAATGATGCTGAAATTTCAGCTTTGCATCACAGGAATAAAATACCTTACAGTTTTTTTTAATTGTAATATTATTTCACAATATTACTGTTTTTACTGTATTTTTATCAAATAAATACAGCCTAGTGTAGTGCATATGTGTTCAAGGTGACTAAAACAGTAAAACACGCTAGTGTTCTGTGATGTGCGGCATATTTTGCTTATGTATGTGGTGTTTGTTAATTAAGACCATCTGTGTTTATAATGTAGACATGGGTCATATTTTAGGAGCCATTTGTGTAGAAATCCAGATAATTCTAAAGGGTTCCTTAACATTTAATTCACAAAGCTGTTTTTCTCTTTCAATGAGTGCGCAGTTAGAATAACACAAAGCATCTCTTAGCATCAGTTTCTGTCTGTCACCGTGCATCACCGCAGAGGTGTGTATGCGTGCGTTGAAACTACTTGCTGACAGCGAAGTGCAAACCCCCCCTCCTCCACTCAAACTTTCTGTAATCTCTTTCTTAGTTGGTATGCTAATGCTAATATACTAATACTAATATGTTTACAGATGTCTGGTGACTGAAATTAGATGGGTGCTAAACCGTGAATATGAACTATTCTACAACTGACATTACATTAAGCTGGTAGCTATATTCTAGAATAAGATAGCAGGTTTCTAGTTGGTCCAAGTTGGTCATTAGCTGTTTTACTAGCTGGTTTGTTGCTGGTCCAAGGTGGTCTATACCAGCTAATAACCAGCAAATTACTATCTTAAACCAGCTAGAATCCAGCTACTGTGTTCCCAAACACAACTAGCAGCTTAAGTCAGATTTCCCTCATATTAATTTGTCTTAGAATTAGTTTTTGACATTTGATTGCTTTTACAATACCATCATTTGAATAAAAGTTTGTAAACCTATAACAATTATTAATTGTAATTATCTATATTTCTAGCATCAATGGCTAGGTAGTATTATTTGTCAAACAACACATTTTAAATTAAAGTTTAGCATATTATATATGTATATAATTTATAATTATTTATATACAAATTTATTGAAAAAATAATACTTTTATTTAGCATAGATGCATTCAGTTGATTCAACGTTGATAATGATAATGCTTTTTGAGTGGCAAATCATCATATTAGAAGGATTTCTGAAGGATCATGTGATGCTAAAGACTGGATAATGATGCTGAAATTTCAGCTTTGCATCACAGGAATAAAATACCTTACAGTTTTTTTTAATTGTAATATTATTTCACAATATTACTGTTTTTACTGTATTTTTATCAAATAAATACAGCCTAGTGTAGTGCATATGTGTTCAAGGTGACTAAAACAGTAAAACACGCTAGTGTTCTGTGATGTGCGGCATATTTTGCTTATGTATGTGGTGTTTGTTAATTAAGACCATCTGTGTTTATAATGTAGACATGGGTCATATTTTAGGAGCCATTTGTGTAGAAATCCAGATAATTCTAAAGGGTTCCTTAACATTTAATTCACAAAGCTGTTTTTCTCTTTCAATGAGTGCGCAGTTAGAATAACACAAAGCATCTCTTAGCATCAGTTTCTGTCTGTCACCGTGCATCACCGCAGAGGTGTGTATGCGTGCGTTGAAACTACTTGCTGACAGCGAAGCCGTGTGTGTGGTCTGTTCACTCAGATGATGAGGTAACGGTGGGGAAGTTCTATGCCACTTTCCTGATACAGGACTACTTTAGGAAATTCAAGAAACGCAAAGAGGAAGGCCTGGTGGGCGTTCACCCAGCACAGAACAACACCGCTGTCGCCCTGCAGGTAAGCAAAACGTACTTGGAGATTGAAATGTGTTGATTCTTTAGAGTGTATTAATAAGTTGTATGCTGTTTAATGTCATAATGTTGTTGAATTTGTATTTGCGCGCTTATGTTTTATATACGTTGGTTTTGGACTTGTGCGTTAACACTGACAGAAATTGCATCACTGAAGGTCATCCTCGATCTCTTGTCAGAAAGCCATTTGTTTTTCTTTGTTGAATTATTGTATTGTTGGCACAAATTGTTGTTCTTTAATCATTTATTTAATAGAACAGATATTTATCAAATAGAATTCAATGTAGAATTAATGTACCCCAAGGATTCCCAAGTTTTTTTTTTGTCAGCCGAATCCTTATAATATTGACCCAAAATATTTACTTACTGTAAAGAACTTTAAGTTAATATTTCAGTTATTTAACACATCCAAATGTTTACAGTTCTCTAAAGTCATGTCACATAAGTAAATCAAATATTTTGTCCTTTTTAGCGTTTATTGTATTTGTTTTTATTTTTAAATTATTATACATTACATATGCTCCTAAATGGCATGTGCAAACATACTGTAATTGCTGTAATTGGTCACTTTACATTTTGATCAAGCGTGCATTTTCATGCGTTGAAACTACTTGCTGACAGCGAAGCCGTGTGTGTGGTCTGTTCACTCAGATGATGAGGTAACGGTGGGGAAGTTCTATGCCACTTTCCTGATACAGGACTACTTTAGGAAATTCAAGAAACGCAAAGAGGAAGGCCTGGTGGGCGTTCACCCAGCACAGAACAACACCGCCGTCGCCCTGCAGGTAAGCAAAACGTACTTGGAGATTGAAATGTGTTGATTCTTTAGAGTGTATTAATAAGTTGTATGCTGTTTAATGTCATAATGTTGTTGAATTTGTATTTGCGCGCTTATGTTTTATATACGTTGGTTTTGGACTTGTGCGTTAACACTGACAGGTCGCCCTGCAGGTAAGCAAAACGTACTTGGAGATTGAAATGTGTTGATTCTTTAGAGTGTATTAATAAGTTGTATGCTGTTTAATGTCATAATGTTGTTGAATTTGTATTTGCGCGCTTATGTTTTATATACGTTGGTTTTGGACTTGTGCGTTAACACTGACAGAAATTGCATCACTGAAGGTCATCCTCGATCTCTTGTCAGAAAGCCATTTGTTTTTCTTTGTTGAATTATTGTATTGTTGGCACAAATTGTTGTTCTTTAATCATTTATTTAATAGAACAGATATTTATCAAATAGAATTCAATGTAGAATTAATGTACCCCAAGGATTCCCAAGTTTTTTTTTTGTCAGCCGAATCCTTATAATATTGACCCAAAATATTTACTTACTGTAAAGAACTTTAAGTTAATATTTCAGTTATTTAACACATCCAAATGTTTACAGTTCTCTAAAGTCATGTCACATAAGTAAATCAAATATTTTGTCCTTTTTAGCGTTTATTGTATTTGTTTTTATTTTTAAATTATTATACATTACATATGCTCCTAAATGGCATGTGCAAACATACTGTAATTGCTGTAATTGGTCACTTTACATTTTGATCAAGCGTGCATTTTCATGTTATGTGTTAGTCAAACACAAATCACTGTCAGTGCAAACACCCTGAATAATAATAATAATAATAGTAAAAATACTGCATAATCTGTATTTCCTTTGCATGAGACCTTCTTTACCTCAACTGTATCTCTCTGTTTCTGGATGCGCTAATGTTGTTTTAGCTTGAATATGGATCCCCACAATGTGATAATGGTGATCTGTAAATGTATTTCTGTCTGTTATACATGTGGTTTGAAGTGTTTGTATTCGTTTACCATCACTTCAGAGGTCTAATTCATGTATTATTATTTTAAGACGTTTTGTTGGTCTCCATCCTCATAAATCAAACACCACTGTGTTTGATTTCTCTGCGAACATAATCTTTGTTTAGAGGTTTTTAGTGTGTTTTTAGTGTAGCTAACCAAAGAAATGTTTCACAATTTTGAAATGTTAGAAATGTTTTACACGTTTCATATTTCAAAACGGAATATGTGGCTAATATAGTCTTTTTTTTAGAAAGTCACAGTAAAGGCTAGCATCTCAGTTAAAGTGTGTTAGTAGGAGTGTACAATTAAGGAAGTGCTTTCGTGTGTTTTTTCTCTTTGTCTACTGTGATTGTTGTCATCTTTCATGAATTTGTCCTGTCTGGAACTGTCTTCGTCAAGCCTGTTTGTGTCAATGTGTCTGGTAAACTGCCCCCTGGTGGCATGTGTGTGTGAGGGTCTCCGTTTTCAACATGTCGCTGCTGTTCAAGGGTTTTCCATTCAAGAGCAGGTCCTTAGCTATCTTGTCATCACGGTTACAGGCTGGCCTTCGTACGCTGCATGACATTGGGCCAGAAATCCGCCGTGCGATATCATGTGACCTGCAGGATGATGAGCTAGTAGACTTTATGCCAGAGGAGGACGAAGAAATTTATAGGGTAAATTACTCACCTTTTATGACCCCTTTCTCCTTTTAAAATCGATCTGTACCTTATTGTCTTACTTTAACTGCCTGGTACAAATAAAAGGTTGTTTTTAATGGTAACGATTCCTTACGGGAGTTGCGATGAATTGTTCGCCATCCCTGAAGGTCGTACACACTTAGATTAAGACCTTGAATGAGGATAAATTCACCAAGTTGACAATCTAAAATGTTGACATTAGAGACTTTATTGAAGATTAGGCAATAGGTACATCTGTATTGCAGGTTTGTAGTAATAACGTTAGCCTTAGCGTAGCATATCTAATCCAGTGTAATCCACGGTTATCTACATTTCTCTTGATTTCAAATTCAGTTCAGATTTAATCAGTTCATGAAATTCACTCACACCATACGCCATTTTACCTCCTTTCCAACTTCTTTTTCCCATGAGATCATTAAAAATGGCAATCAGATGACTTAGCATTGGATAAATGTTCAAAGATGCCATATTTAATTTTTCGCAAAGGTTGTGTGGGGTAAAGAGCTTTTTTTAATAGCAAAAAGACATTTTTTGTGTGTTGCATCAGCTAAAGGACAGTATTACAACTGCTGCCTGTACGTCTGTCTCTTAAGTACGATAAGTATAATGATCAAATTTTAATAAATGTTCTAATTCACTGAGAATAGTGAAGTCCACATCATGGCTATAATGATAGCGACACTGCGGAACGATATTGTTGGGATCACTTTTAGAACAGTTTTTTTTTCCAGATGATGAACAATAAAAACATTGACAGCCAATCAGAATCCACTCCGAATCTGCTTTTAAAGCATCAGGAAAAACTGCTGCGCACAATTATAATAAACTGAACGTTATTGTCTATTGGTGTGGATAATAGTTTTAATTTAGTTAGTCTTTATCCACCTTATTTTTCCCGTAAGAGTGTGAGCGGCCATTTGTAAATTTTATGTGTCTGGCTTCATGTCTCATCCGCTTCCAGTTATTTTTAGCTGTACAAAACAGCTCGTTGTGCTGCTTGATATTGCAAACTGGTGTGTCTTACCTTATTATTTTAATGTATTATCTTAATTCTGAACACACTGGTTTGTAGTGCATAAAATTTGACCGTTTACTGCACGTTGTTATTCTTCTCGTTATTTCCCTACAGCAGCTAATGAACCAGAAGTCTCGCACATTCACAGAAAACGGCTTACTTCCGCGTTGAAAAATAAGGAGGATAGTTATTGTTCTTGGTGTGAACAGGCCTTTAGGCTTTATTTAATTTGCGCAAACTTAAATATGGCGTCGACCCTTACTAAAGTCCATTGCGTATTTCTTTAAACTAACAAACACAAGTATTTCTTCACAGCGAAATGGAGGACTCTTTGGCAACCATATCAACCATATAAATGGTGAATCCCGGAGAAGCTCCGGCCACCAGACAAATGCCACACAGCGCCCCCTGCAGGTGCAGCCGCCCCCACATTACGCCCACATGGAACAGACCGTGGGGCGCCTGGGTCGCGCCAATGCCATGGCGCAGCAAAACCATCATCGCCACCACCACCACCATCATCACCATCATCATCATCACAACTCCTACAACAAGTCGCCCAAGTCTACCAACATCAACCTCAACAACGCCAACGTGTCCAGTCTACCCAATGGAGGACACAATTGTTACTATGAGCATATGCCCGCTAACGGTTATCCGGGATCGTACTATGGAGAATACGACAAGCCCAGGACCCCACACGGGCAAAGGTGAATGCTTTTTTTGTTCATCCAACATCTTGCTCTTACTATTTTTAAATATTTATTTCAATTTATTCAATGATTTGACAATGCTAGCAAATTACGGTGTAATCTCATGAATGTCCCCGACTTCTTAAACCAATTCCTTCATTCCATTTGATTGATTGGAATTGCTTTAGGAGGGATGTTTTTCAAGGTCTAAGCAACTTTTTAAAGGGATAGTTCACCCAAAAATTAAAATGTTATGTTTATCTGCTTACCCCCAGGGCATCCAAGAGGATAGTTATTGTTCTTGGTGTGAACAGGCCTTTAGGCTTTATTTAATTTGCGCAAACTTAAATATGGCGTCGACCCTTACTAAAGTCCATTGCGTATTTCTTTAAACTAACAAACACAAGTATTTCTTCACAGCGAAATGGAGGACTCTTTGGCAACCATATCAACCATATAAATGGTGAATCCCGGAGAAGCTCCGGCCACCAGACAAATGCCACACAGCGCCCCCTGCAGGTGCAGCCGCCCCCACATTACGCCCACATGGAACAGACCGTGGGGCGCCTGGGTCGCGCCAATGCCATGGCGCAGCAAAACCATCATCGCCACCACCACCACCATCATCACCATCATCATCATCACAACTCCTACAACAAGTCACCCAAGTCTACCAACATCAACCTCAACAACGCCAATGTGTCCAGCTTACCCAACGGAGGACACAATCGTTACTATGAGCACATGCCCGCTAACGGTTACCCGGGATCGTACTACGGAGAATACGACAAGCCCAGGAGCCCTCACGGACAAAGGTGAATGCTTGTTTTGTTCATCCAACATCGAATTTATACACAGTGTTTTGTATGGAAATGTATGATTTTTAGAAAAAATGTAGTATGAAGGTTTACGCCTAACCCTACTCCTAAAGCTAAACGTCAATAGGGTTTAAGCAGATTAATACGAATTAGCCACTAATTCGCCAAAGGTTAAAATAGTAATATTGCCCACCTTGAAATTGGTCACCAAGATACAGCCTTACCTGTCTCATCACTTAAATGAGGCCATTTCTGGGTGAAGGATTTCAAAAACATTGACAAGATTAATGAGGCTTGATATGGTCATCTGAGCCAAATTTAGCTAAGATTATACATTAAACATTTGTGTGATTCGCAAAGACATTTGCCTTGTCAGATTGACCCAAGGAGTCAGAGACAGAAACAGAATTATGTTTTTCAACCAATTGGTTCATTTATAAGCAAAAGAGAGTCAAACTTTGGATTTACGGTGGCACAGGTTTTGATGGAAGACTGACTCACTATGAATCCCATTTATATTCAGAGCCTCCATGGTCAGTTTTTACCAACTTAAAAAAATGAAGCCAAACTTTAAATTTTTGGGGGGCTTATCAAACCACTTGAGTAAAAACACATGTGAGGGGCAGAGGATGCAGTGTTTTTCAACTCGGCTTTGGACAATGCAATCAAACCAAGTGTGAAAACAGCCTCACATATATAAAAATGCTGTATATATCATGTATATACTGTATGATATATGTGTCCATCCATTCCCTTACCCTATTCCCCTGCTTTTCTCCACCTTTCTCTCTTTCCTTCCTAACCGAAATGCTTTCTCTTAACCATCTCTCTGCTTTCTGGAACAGAAGGCGCTACTATGAGACGTATATTAGGTATGTTACATTAGGTATTATATGTTCATATAGCAGGTACTAATGCTTGTAGAGAAACAGATGGTGAATGATAAGCAGAACTGTGTTCAGTGGGTAAAAGCGTCAGGATTTCCACCTCAGCCCTGTCCCATATGGTGCTTTAAGTTAACTTAACATGTCTGCAAAGGCCTGCGAGTGCTATTTGGAACAGGGCCTTATACACACACACCCAGAGATTGACTACAAAACTGGAAAGAGTTGATAGGAACATCTAGTAAAGCATTAACAAATCAGGATGCGTCTTTGAGTCTCTGTGTGTTGTGATTGGGTGATGAAGGGAAAGAGGAGGGGCTTGCTGCATGCAACTTTTTTCTCAGTATAACATTGAACAGACTATTTCTTTCACAGCTTCATTTTTGTTTATGTCAGTTAAATGTAAAGTATTTACTCTAACGCTTATGCTTTACAGTCACTAAAGAAATCTAGACTCAATGCAAGGAAATCTTCAACTAGAATATCTTTAAGCTGAGATTTCTTAAGACCGTACAGCTATTAAGTAAAGACAATATGCAGAAGCTACAAAGGCTATGACACTGCTGACAGTTATCTTGATAAGATTTTGCTTGTTTTCTAATGAGGTCTAACCACGTCACTGCACTCTGGAGCTGTACGTCTGCATGGTAGTGCATGGTTATTCGCTGACGTTCTGACCACAATCTAACGGCTTCTCACTGACCACTTGACCTTCATGCAGGTCGCAGGGCAGTGACAGAAGACGACCCACTATACGCCGCGAAGAGGAGTATGAAGAAGATCGTTACACTGGAGAGTACTACAGTGGAGAGGAGTTTTACGAAGACGACAGCATGCTGTCGGGTGACAGGTAAAACTATTGCAGCCCATTTCAAGTAAATCAAATTTACAGAAATTCATACAAGGTTAATTACTGTATCACACTTCCTTGTGCAGGTACCCCAACAGTGACCAGGAATATGAGACACCACGGGGTTACCATCATCCTGACAGCTGCTATGAGGATGACGAGCTGCCCCTTTATCACGATTCACATAGGTCACCAAAGAGAAGACTACTTCCTCCAACACCGCAAGGCAAGTCTTGGGGCTACTTTCTTTAAATGTAGAAACAAGCCCTCTGATTTATGGCTTAGTTTTGTTAAGATATTAATTGCTCTCGTTTACAGGTAATCGGAGACCGTCGTTTAATTTTGAGTGTCTGCGCAGACAGAGCAGTCAAGATGATCTTCCTCACCAGCGTACTGCTCTTCCATTACATCTCATGCAACACCAGGTAATTTAGAATCAGAATCAGAATCAGAAGAGCTTTATTACCAAGTATGTTTACACACACAAGGAATTTGACTTGACGACAGGAGCTTCCAGTGTAGAAGAAAGTACAAACATAGTGCAGACATACATGATAGTGTAGACATACATAGGAATAACACAGGAGGGATGTAATATAAAACTAATATAATTAAAAAAAAAATTAAAAAATTTTTTGAATAATGTACTATATACAGAAATAGAGGTATAGGAAAAAATGTAATTGTTTAGATAAATGTACAGCTTTTTTAGTATATTTTAGTATATTTTAAATATAACATTACATATAATAATGAAAAAATAATGAAACAATATTTTATATATATATATATATATACAGTGGGTACGGAAAGTATTATATATATATATTTAATTTTAAATATATTTACAAATATAATTTATAATATATGCATTTATTATGTTTAAATAACCAATTTGAAATATAATTGACAATAATAAATGTCTATATATTAGAAAAATATATGTCCATGTGATATATATATATAGCGATGAGAGAAAAAATAACAATACATGGACAAACCAGTCACTCTTTAATCAATGCGAGTGATGTATGTTGGAATAACTCTCATTTATGCCGTCATCACGTGTTGATAGCGCAGGTGAGACCTGAACAGCACACGTTGCGATCTGTGTTTAAACTAAACTCATTTAAGCCTGGCCAGTTTAAATATTAAAGAGCCAGATGACACAAACTCACACGCGCAGTGAGAAGATCTGTGTGTGCGCTCATCCGAAGCACGTGAACGCGCACAAATATTAAGCTCTCTTTGATGTATTGTGCTTGAATGGACAAATTCACACAAAAATTATGTCAAAATGCCCGTCTTGGTGAGTATCCTAGAAGACATAGTCGGCTGAACATACAGTATCAGTGCACTGGATCGGTGCGTTCTCTTAAAGTGACAGCACTTTCTTAATGTTAAAGGGGTCATATGATGTTGCTAAAAAGAACATTATTTAGTGTATTTGGTGTAATGAAATGTGTTTGTGGTTTAAGGTTCAAAAAACACATTATTTTCCACATACTGTACATTATTGTTTCTCCTCTATGCCCCGCCTTTCTGAAACGCGTAGTTTTTACAAAGCTCATCGGTCTGAAAAGCGAGGTGTGCTCTGATTGGCCAGCTATCCAGTGAGCCGAATTTCAATTACCATATTGTGATGCCCTGTCGGCCGGAGCGACGAGACAAAAACATTAAAACCCATTATAAACGAGGCATTTGTTGCATCCAGTGGGGTCATAATTACTGATTATAATGACTTATACTGTGTTTTTACGCGTTGCATTGCATTGCGCAGTGTAAACATAAAACCATGTCTGCATTTGGGATCGGAGAAATGACAAACAACAAGTGCTACTCTACACTGCCCAAAAAACTCTTGTTTGAATCGTCAGTGGCAAATTCTTTAACCTGTTGATCGGTACAGTCCCACATACGGGATTTTTATTTCCGTGCCCCTGGGAGTACAGTAAGGAGAAATGTTCTAAAGTAAGGGTCACCTAAAAAAAAACTCACTCCGAGGAGTGCTCTGATTGGCCAGCTATCCAGTGAGCCGAATTTCAATTACCATATTGTGATGCCCTGTCGGCCGGAGCGACGAGACAAAAACATTAAAACCCATTATAAACGAGGCATTTGTTGCATCCAGTGGGGTCATAATTACTGATTATAATGACTTATACTGTGTTTTTACGCGTTGCATTGCATCGCGCAGCGTAAACATAAAACCATGTCTGCTTTTGGGATCGGAGAAATGACAAACAACAAGTGCTACTCTACACTGCCCAAAAAACTCTCGTTTGAATCGTCAGTGGCAAATTCTTTAACCTGTTGATCGGTACAGTCCCACATACGGGATTTTTATTTCCGTGCCCCTGGGAGTACAGTAAGGAGAAATGTTCTAAAGTAAGGGTCACCTAAAAAAAAACTCACTCTGGGCAGTCTGGGGGGACCGCTGGAATATTTTAAACTCACCACTGAAAAGGTTAAATATAAAAAACGTACTTACAGTCTGTGAGTCAGAACAGCCGGCATTGTAGTCTACTCTCCCAGGATCAGGAAACAGTCCTCCATAAAATGTGCTGGACACATCTGAATATTTGGGTTAAACTGTTCTGGAACAGTGTTGTAAATACAACTTAACCTCTGATTTCTAGTCGTGTCCTCTTTTGGAAGACCAAACAAAGAAGTTTCGCTTTCACAACGAAACAGCGTCACACACGCCTTGAGTGAGTGGAGGCAGGAGGCCTAGCGTGAGCGGAGGCTGGCTTGTGTGAGCAGAGGCGGGCGGGCTTGAGAACGGCGCGGCTGGCGGATTCGACGAAGGAGCGTCCGGCGAGCTTGCGGCAACCACATGTGACGACCCCGGACTACAGCGAGAATTAAAGTTACGCCTTCTTTCTTTGCGTGAACATTTGGGCGGCGTTATGCAAATCTTCCCACATAGTGATGGACTTTAGTCTTTGCAACTTTACAGATCTTCTTTATGCACCAAGAGCTTGTAACACTCCAAAGAGAAAGGAAAAATTTAAATCACATCACATGACCCCTTTAATCAAACTGCAACAACACGGAAATCACTAACTGCTCTTGATTGAATAACTTTTGTAACTTCAATAAGGATTCATCTTTAATTGATAGTCAAATATGCAATGTTATTTTACATTTGATTACTTTATTCAATTTCTGTACCTAAAAACTGTTAGACCTACCTAAAAACTTTAAAAGCACTGTTTATTTTCTTTGTATCTTTGCTCTATTGTATTTATTTGTGCTGTTGCTTGTAGTTAGATTATGTGTTCTTATTTTCTTTATTTTTATTTGACAATATAGTTTTTTCCCTAAACATAGCACATACTGAACTGTACGAAACCGTGACTCTAAATCCGCGATACAAACCGAACTGTGAGTAAGTTAAACCGTTGCACCCCTAATATATATATATATATATATATATATATATATATATATTATTTTACAGTATATAGACATGTGTCTATTATATTTAGAGTTGGTTCTTTCTTACTTTATTACTATGACTCTTGATTAATTTATTTAATCCATGTTTGCTTCATTTAGAAAACTTTCATGACATTTTCATGACAGTGTTTTCATTTTATTTGTTAACATTTACAGATAATATTTTATAAATAAAGGAGAATATAAAATAGCATGCAAGAAATTGTCACTTGTATCAACTAATTAAATATTATTAAATTTTATTACAACCCTACATGTCAGCATAGTATTATGCACAGTATATATACTAATTACTGTGTATCAAAACAATAGATTTCTTTTGACCCCGCACTTGTTGGTCCAGGTGATGGCTGTAGCGGGTCTCGACTCCAGCAGGGCTCACAGGCTTTCACCTACACAATCTACCAGATCACCTCCTCCCACTCCTGCAAGTAAAGACCGAACGCCGTACTACACACCGCTTATCCGCGTGGACCGTCCTCTGAGGGACAGTGTCCACAGCAGTCACTCATCCATCAGGAAGAGCTTGTGGTATACAGACGACCCCGAGTACCAGAGGAACTACTCACCCGTTCACCTGCAGGTCCCGCCCGAGTATAGAAACCAGTACCACCAGAAGCGAGGCAGCGCTACTAGCCTGGTAGAGGCGGTGAGTCTGAGACCTCCTATTTCCATTTACAAGATCGATGCAATCAAATATTGTGAAAATTAGTATCTTCTGTTTTTTGCATTTGAACTAGGGCTAAATATTTTTGCCTATTGATGATTATCAGGAGATATATATATATATATATATATATATATATATATATATAT